CTGCTTCTCCCTCTGACCCTCCCCCCTCTCGTGCTCTATCTCATTCTCTCTCAAATGAATAAATAAAATCTTTTAAAAAAATAAATAAAAAATAAATAAAAAAAGAAACATGTACTCACCTCCATAGGTCCAGAAAATGTATCATCCTTTCTCTCATCCTCATGAAGCTCCAGGAATCTTGACTCAAGGAATGGAATCCAGGCCCTGCCTATGCATCTTCACCCTGAGCCACTCGGGGCTGGTTGATCAGAAGAGAACTAGCAAGCAAATGCCTCAGACTGAGCAAAAATGTAACACTAGATACAGCAGGTCATCAGTATTGAGCACCAGGACAAGAATAGCTAAGATAAAGAAGCAGAGGAAACATGGATGCTGCAGATAGTTTGGCCAGCAACAACTGGCTATGGCAAAGTAGCTGATCATCATAATTTGGTCAAATACAAGTGTTTCCAGTTTTCGTTTTTCAACTACTGGTGAATTTTGGTGGTCTGCTGCCTTGTCACCCCATCCACCTAACTGTCCAAGATAAAAGCAGTTATTGGTGAGAAGTTCAGAAAACATACTTCCAGCAACTGAGGATTTCTTGAAGCAATCTGATTTTTCTTTACTCCTTGGCACAAAATGTAGTCTGACAAGCTTAAGATCTTTTTTAAAAAAAGAAACACTGTAAAATACTCAAAATCCAGCCCTTAATTTTTTTTTTATAATGTATTACAAAAACAATGGCATGCTCAGGGGAGAAAATAAAGTACCAATAAGCAAAAATAGAACCTAACAGACATCAAAAACCATCCTGGAGAAAAAATAAGCAAAGTAATCAAAACAGGATTAAACCGTATGTTTACCACATAGATTATTTCTTATACATACATATTCATAAAGTATCTCATTTTAAACTATGTTTAGGTATGTATACATTTTATACAGTTTATATACATAATCCATTTAGTATCGGACATTAAAACTGTTCTGACTTTGCAAGATGATGAGGAGTACAGAGAAGACACATGGGCTAAAAGTTACTAAATGGAATGATGCAAAAAATGCAGAAAAACGAGAAGTGGATGAAGTTTTTAAAAACACGAGAGGTTAACGAAATTTATGAATCAGAAAATAGTGGTGGCTGAAGAGCCTTGCTTTTAACCAAATCATCATTTAAACTTGTTGATTTGCTTTAATCCCAAATGTTTTTAATCAATACAGGTGCTGCCAAGTGTTTGCTTGGTATCAGTATGTGCTCACATGCCTTTTTACACGGGTCCATTGCTAAACAAAATTTACTAGATGAAAAGCCCAGTGTGAGAGGTTCCTGTGCCTGCAGTAAAAAATCACCACATCCTTGGTTCTTTAAAACAACACTATTTTATTCTCTCACAGTTCTGGAGGCCAGAAGTTTGAAGTCTGGGTCTTGATAGCGTTGCACTCCCCGCAGAGGTTCTAGGGGAGAATCCATTCCTTGTCTCTTCCAACTTGGAGCTGCCAGCATTCCTCAACTTGGGGCCGCCTTGCTCCAATATCAGCCACCATGATCTCAGGGCTGGCCTCTGAGAAACTTCAATTCTGCTCTTAGGGTCTTTCAGCTGGGATCAGCCACCCCTCAGATAACCCAGGATAACTTCCTCATCACAATATCCCAATTTAATCACATCTGCAAGACCCTTTAATCAAATGAGATAGCATTTACAGGTTTCAGGCAATAGAGTCTGATGATCTTGTGGGGGAGAGAGGGGAGTATTTTTCAACCTACTATCCATAGTATTCACAAAATTCTCCTAAAATTTCCTTGAATCTGACCCACTATTTCTTATTAGAATTTTATTAGTTGTGTCTATTCTTTGCTAATTACCCAAAGCATAGGCCACCTATTTAAATGCCTTTGTTATTATCTAGATAGGTTCCATTTGAAAATACTTTAGGATCACCTCCCCCAGCCCAAACTGATTCTTCTTGCTCTCTTTTCTGTTTATTGCTTGGTCTTCCTGTGTCATCATCTATGAGGTAGGACTTTGAAAATCAACCTTTTTCATCTTAAGTGCCACATCCAATTAATCCTCAAGCTCTGCTGGTTCCACTTCAGTTCACTTCAAATCAGTCCCACTCACGCTGCCCCCCACTCTGAATGTTCCTGGCCTGGTTGTAACTGCAGGGGACAGAGCTCAGCTAGCCGGCTGCCAGGCTCGGTCCTCTATACCTTGGCTCACCTTTATCCATTCTCTATTCTGCTGTCAGAGTGATCTTTCTCAAACTTTCTGAATCTGATCAACTCACTCACCTACTTGAAACCTTTGAAAAGATCCCACTATTCTCAGATTTAAGTTCAAACAACACAGACAGGGCTGCTACCTACACCCACAACCTCATCTTGTATTTCTATCCTATTCCTTCCTTCCAAATCTCCTAAGCAGCCTGAACTAAAATCAGCTTTTTCTAAAGTATCATGATTTTTTTTTTTTTTTTACTTCTACATTTTGGAACATACTACAGGTTTCTGCCTTGCCAGGCCAAACAACTAGCCAAGTCCTATTTATCTTCCAGAATTTGGCTAAGAGAGTCCCTTGTTTAGGAACATATCCCTATACACTTTAAACAAGTGAACCGTACAGTATGTGTACTATATCTCAATAATGCTATTATTGAAAAGAAAAGAATGAATCGGGCTCAGATGGTCCCGAACTCATTTAGTGTTATACACATCTTCTCCAACTTCACAAGATCCCCTGTGCCTATCTCCCTAACATTTCTACTACACTCTCATCTGCTGGCTCATGACTGCTTGAGGGCACGACTGTGACAAATTAATCTTCACATTCTCCTTGAGTAATATAATGTCTGGTACAAGGCGGACACTCAGTAAATGTTTGTGGGGTGAGTGACAAGATTATATAATCCTTCAACACAGCATTACATGGTTGAAACCAACTATAATAAGTCCACCAAGTGTAGAATGGAGTTTACAGTCACCTGGATTGAAGTTAGGTATATACAGTTTGCCACTGAGAAAGTAAATTACCTTTGCGGCTAAATTACTACGAAGATTGACCAATACTAGGCTTTAAGATTCAAAGTATAGCCATTAGAATGTAATTGCACTTTAGACAATATAATCCTTTCCCAATGAAATACAGCCTTTGTCCTCAATTTGCATTCCAGCAGTTAGTGTTCATATTTATCAATCAGCTTACAGGGATGAGTCATCATCCAGCTGCTATAAGCTGTGTTTAATTAGCTTTAAAGCATTTTTCTAAGAGCTTCTGTCATTCCAACTTAAGCTCCATTAGTTTTCTTGGCTGCCACATTATAGAACAAATAAAGTGAACACGTCCTTTTTAGTGGGGCCAAATCATTCATTATACTTATATGCAGCATCCACACACAATGGAAGAGTATTCATTTCTTTGCGTCATCAAATACATAAACTTCCATTTTTTTTTCCTGTTTTCAAAGCGTTTCCAAAAATGGTAAAGATCAGTCCTCAAAGGATGTTACTTCTAACAACCAAGTTTTCATTAATGGCCTAAAAAAGAGAATAATTCATAATTCTGTTCTTAAGTGTAAAAGAATACAGACCAGAAGAATTCTATCCAGATAACGTGGGTCAATTTTAGATGCTCAATCTATTAATTGCTTTCCTAAGAGAGTATGTCTTCTGGCATAGGAAACCTGGTTTCCTCTCCCGCGGTTGGCAGGAAAGAGAGACAGAGGGAGAGAAGGGGCAAAGGACCGTTCTTGCCTTCCCTAATCTGGTGGGATGGAGTAGGAAAGAGTCTGAAGAGTTTCTCTTGGTAACTCCCAGTTTTCTACCTGGCTGGTTTAGAAGAGATTATATTCTAAATACCTCCGCTATCCTACTACCATTCCCTGCCCCAGCACCTTGCTTGCCTTTTTTAGAACTCTGTGATTTAGCTTTTGTTTCTTTATCCTTTTATGGTCTCTCTCCTCTGCGAGGGTGTAAGCCTCCACGGGCAGTCTATTTCCCTCTCACTAAACCCAATGCCTTACACATTCTGTGAATGCGGTGAATGTTGGGAGGGAAGAAAGAAAGAAAAGGTTGAAATCAGAAGGGCCTGAGATAGAAATTTACGCTAGTGCAAAAGTTCTAGACAGAGGTCAGTCTTGAGTAAAGTGGGGATAGGCAGGGCAGAAGAAAACACAAATCAGCACCTGCTTCTGGCTGCAGGGAGAAACAGGCAGCCTTGGGAGAGGAAAACAGCCCCTTAAGCATTTCTAATTCCCTATTTCATTTGGTTTCATTAACAGGATTGCAATAGTATTATTTTTCAAGTAAATATATGCTGCTCCTGTCACATTATGGTTCCTGTAGACTTGCTGGTCAGTCTGCCCTTTCTAACATTGTTTCTGTGGGAAAATGAGTCACAAGTTCCAAATAACTGACTCACCAAGATTCAGAACATAACCAGCTCAAATTATAACCTGGTTTTCATTTCAACTGCCTCTTATTTCCCTCTTCTCTTTCTTTTCAACTTTCTCGTTCTCTCAGCTGTCTTCCTTCCCCCTAGGGCCCCCTGTGTTCGCGTACCTGCACGTCCATGTGTTTGCATGCACACACACCTTATATTCTCTCACAATAAGAACATAAACAAACATACCCTGTTCTCATATCCAGTTACCAAGTCTTAGAATTCTTCCTTAATCATAAAAATTATGAGTCAGATATGAGCTCACACTCCAGTCCAATTCACATCCTGGTTGAGGCCTTATTTGCCCATGCCCGGTCTGTCAAAATAGCCAGCTTGTTAGTGTCCTGATTCCAATCTCTTCTCCTTTCAGTCCATCCTGCATATACATGTAACTCATAACTGCCTCTAAAGCACTACTCTGCATCGTGTTAACTCTTTTTTTCTCACATCACTGCCATGCCAAGTGAATAGAACTTACTCCCCGAATTCACAGTCGAGGATTTCCATATGATGAACCTATCCCACCTTCTCAACTTCACTTCCTATCACTGCAGGCTCAGGGCCGCTTTCAGATCATTTCATTATTTCTTAGGCACACACTTAACCATCCTACCTGTGTGTCTTCACTCATGCTCCTCCCTCTGGTCTTCCTTTCTTTCCCAGTCATCCTTTTATGATCAAATCTAGCCCCAAATCCTTGGTAAAAACTTTTCGATCACCTCAAGATACAAGATTCCCTTTCTATATTCTTTTTTAAGTTTTTACTTTAATTCAAGTTAGTGAACACAGTGTTGTATTAGTTTCAGATGTACAATATAGTGATTCATTAATTTCATACCTCACCTGGTGCTCATAAGTATACTCCTTCATCCCCGTCACCTGTTTAACCCATCCCCCTCCACTCTCCCCTCTAGCAATCATTAAGTTGTTGTCTGTAATAGTCTGATTATTTTTCTTTTTTCCCCTTTTGTTTCTTAAATACCACATGAGTGAAATCACGGTATTCGTCTTTCTCTGACTGACTTATTTTGCTTAGCATAATACTCTCTAGCTTCATCCATGTTGTCGCGAATGGCAAGGTTTCATTCTTTTTTATGGCTGAATAATATTCATATATCTATAGATAGATAGATGATAGACATAAAATCACTTTTTTTTAAGATTTTATTTATTTATTTGAGAGAGAGAATGAGATAGAGAGAGAGAGCATGAGAGGGGGGAGGGTCAGAGGGAGAAGCAGACTCCCTGCCGAGCAGGGAGCCCGATGCAGGACTCGATCCCGGGACTCCAGGATCATGACCTGAGCCGAAGGCAGTCGCTTAACCAACTGAGCCACCCAGGCGCCCTAAAATCACCTCTTTATCCATTTTCAGTTGATGGACACTTGGGCTGCTTCCATAATTTGGCTATTGTAAATAATGCTGCAGTAAATATCTGGGTGAATGTAGGTATTTGAATTTGTGTCTTCATATTCTTTGGGTAAATACCCAGTAGTGCAATTCCTGGATCATAGGGTAGTTCTATTTTTTTAATTTTTTGAGTAGCTTCCATACTATTTTCCACAGTGGCTGCACCAGTTTGTATTCCCACCTATATTCTTTCTGCGCTTAGGAGAACTCTATGCATTTGTGCAATGTTTTCATAGTTTTTTTCCATATGTTTCCTATGAAAGCCTCACAACAACACAGCTAAGTGGGTATTGTAAGTATGTACACTTCACAGATAAGGAGAAAGGTTTTCAGAGATGTGAACTGATTTACCCAAGCTTGCACAGCTGGAATGTGACAGAAATTATCTTTAAACCCTGGCATTCCCATTCCATGTTAAATTCCCTATTCGGCACTTACTATAAACTGCCTCAGGTTGGTAATTATTTGCATCATTTTTTTTGCTGTCTTCCAAACTAGATTATAAGCTCTGTGAAGGCAGTAGCTACGTAAAGAACTTGCCCCAGTGCATTATAATACACAAGATGAGAACTCAATAAATATTTGATTGAATGATTCTAAGAGTAGGTCAATCCATTCACCCAACTTAAAAAGCTTTGGTGATTCTGCTCTCCCTCTTCTGCCCAATATTTGAATTCTGAGTACTCACCTGAACACTCTGTGAAAAAATGCAATATATCTTGGCTGTTTTTAAATTTCTTAACCTAGTCAGCCCCAAAATAAGCTGCAAATTCCCCTAAATTTAAATTCCCCTTAAGTTACTTTGATGAATAAAATGAGACCAGCAGGTATTTCAATGTTGGCCAATGTTGGCCATGAGTTGTAGGAATAAAAGTTGGGGAAAATGGTAAGTGAAGTTGAGTCATCTGGCACACTTGCTGAAAACACATATATCCAGGATTCAGATCCAGTACTTTCTCAATCATTTTTCCTTATGCCAGTTTTTATTGAACACATGACCCCAGGGGGCATACTACAAAACAACGAACCAGTGGCAAAGCGACACTGACTGAAGGCTCAGCAACAGACCATGTTGTTCGTATTAGCCATTTGTTTGTGTGGGCACAAGTACTCATGATTGTAATTTATACTGCATGTGAATTTTCTGCTCTTGACATTCTTCCTGTTTTGTAAAAAAGGATTAAATTTTTCAATATTTTACAATGTTCCACAAAGAGCTGCTATAACCTCTAAGTCTGGAAGTCACTGAACAAAGGACAGGGAACCTGACAGGAGTATTTAAATAAAGGATTTTATGACAGGAAAAGAACTTCAGTCTTTAGAACTGAATTCAGAAGGTACTCACAGGCTCTCCTTGTGATCCATCCTGACCTGGAGCACCTGGAGGTCCTGCTTCTCCCTTTTGAAGATAAAAAAAAAAAAAAGAGAGAGAGAGAATTCCATTTTCAGGCATGCTTATAAAATAATAATATATAACATTAAATATTAAAGTACCTTAGATACAAACAGAAAAATTACTTCTAGGTTATTATTATTAATAAGTTACATGGTCACAGATGGCAACTATACTTGATACAGAATTGATGAATCACTATATTGTACACCTGGAATTGTCTATAACACTTCAATTAAAAAAAATGTAACATTGTGGGGCGCCTGGGTGGCTCAGTCGTTAAGCGTCTGCCTTCGGCTCAGGTCATGGTCCCAGGGTCCTGGGATCGAGCCCCGCATCGGACTCCCCGCTCCGCGGGAAGCCTGCTTCTCCCTCTCCCACTCCCCCTGCTTGTGTTCCCTCTCTCGCTGTATCTCTCTCTGTCAAATAAATAAAATCTTAAAAA